CCCGCTCTCCCCCGGGTGGCAGCAGTGCAGAGTCGTTTTTGTGATTCCCCTGGGAACCATCCAGCCAAATGTGCCGACCCTAAATCTCCAAATAATGAAAAATACAAGCTGACGTGAGATCGCTCTCTGGCCGGGCGCGTTCGGTTCTGCTCACCTATCCGCACGCCCCCGTAGCCCCGGGCCCGGGCCGCCCCCTCCACCCGAGCCGTGATTTGTTGCTCGTCGCCTTTTGATTCGTGCCGGATGAGCGGCGCGTGGCCCAGCGAGCGCGCCACTCCTCGCCTCGCTTCGCTTTTGTATTCGCAAGGCGTAGCAGTTTCACGGCCGGCTCGTCCGAGACTCGTGCGCGGCGCTCTAGCCAGACTCCGCGCACCCGAACGGCAGCCGTGCGAATTTTTGTTTTTGTTAACGGATCTCCCCTCGCTCGCACTTTTTCGGTGAGTTCTTTTTGGGTTTTAGCTGCACAGAGAGTGCTAGTAGTGGCCCCCACTGAAATTGAAATGATGTTAGGAAATCAATCTCACGGGAAATTCATCAGGCAGCACATATATCATGAGCACTGTGACTGTGATTTTCGTCCTATTTATTTTGTAGATTTTGCCTAATATGACTTCCAGATCCTTTGTGCCTGCTAGGCTAGATGCGGTACGCGTCTGCAAAACAGTGCATGGCCAACCAGCTCTTCTGTGGTGTGCTGATTTGACGCCCTGCCGATTGCCTGGGCTGCTTGCATCGCAAACCCCTTCCCTCGCCCAGGTTCTGTTTGTGTTTGGGAGGAGATCGTCGGCCCGATTTCACTTTCTAATCCCTCTGCATTAGCAAGGAGCAGGAGGAGCGAGAAGTCCTCACCGTGTCGTCACTTGCGAAGCCATTCTCCCTTCTATGACTAATTTGGCGCCAACAAAGACCCTTCCGCCTATTTTTTTTTCAGAGTCCCCCAAACTGTCTGCTACCATAAGGAAAAGTCCCCCCCTCCCCCCTTTCATTGTGAAATTTTTTATACTTTCTCAAACATAGAATTTTATTCCAACGTGCAAAAAAGAAACGTCGATATTATCCGCAGCATTCGGTCGTAGACTTTTCGGTGACTCGCAGACTCTGTTCGAGCTCGGCTGCGGCAGGTTATTGATGAGTTTGGCTGTACTGCTGCTGGTGGTCGCCGACCAGCTGGAGAAGGAGAGAGAGAGAGAGAGAGAGAGAGGGGGGGGGGCGATTGGGAGAAAGGAGGGCGAGCTGCTGCTGCTGGGCCGGTCGGTGCGTCCAAGTGGAAGAAGGCAGTGAACGGGACGAAAACGGGTCGTCTGTAGCGAAGGCGGAGGGAGCTGGGGTGGTCAGGGGTAGAAGGGGCGGCTGCTGTCGCTACGGATGGAGTTCTGGGGCTCGCGGGCGGGGCAGCAGCACACAGGAGTATACAATCGGGGTCA